CGTACGCGCTCGAAGCATTTGCGAGCTGGCCTCAGCACTAACCGCCCAGGTCGTCGCACCAATGGTCGGCGCGTATACAATTTGCGCAAAGCTCATGAGATATCCTATGATGTACAGAGAGGCGGAGGAGGTGAAACATCCCGCAATGCCCACCGTCATGAGGAGCATAAAGTTGAGGATGGTGCCAACCAGCAGAAGGGTTCGTCGGCCTGTTGTTGTTGGGTATCAGCTAAAGTCAGTGTGCCAGTATTCTTGAGTTGGGTTTGCCCTACCGATGTAGTTCAGGATGAACCAAGACACGATGTTCCCAAACATGGCTAGGCCGAATCCTCCAAGCGCAAGCTTGAATGTTAGGCTCACCGGCAATCCCGTGATGCCCAAGAAGTACAACGCCTGCGCATAGAATGCAATGCCTGTAAACTGCTGGACGAAGAACATGCCGCATGCAATTCTGGTCCGCCGGAAGTTGGTTTCCTTGAAGCAGTCTGCATACTTCGCCCCCTCTTGTAGACGGACCATCTCATTTTCCTCCATAATGGAACTCCGAATCAATTCCAGTGCAGCCTCTGCACTCTTTTCATTGCGAGGATAGAGCTTATGAAAAGAATTCTTCGCGGCTTCCTCACGCTGGCTGCGGAGGAGAAACCACGGACTCTCGGGCATGACAGCGGTGTAGAGAACCAAGAAGCAGGGGAACGCCCATTGCGCGGCGAAAAGAACTTTGTAAGAGGCAGGCGAGAGGATGGAGAAGCGTGTGTTGCTGATGTCGATGGCCGTCATCTGACCCGCGTTGATGAAGAGGTTGACGGCGGCTGTCAGCGCCGGTCGGAGAGGCTGCGGTGCGATTTCGGAGATGTAGATTGGGGTGAGGGTTAGAAAGAAGCCCAACGCCAGGCCATTTATCTGACATCAATTAGCCATTAGTACAGGGGAGGGAGGTGTGTCCGATTTGAGCAACTGAAGCTTACCATCTTTCCAGCCAGCAGTTGACCAGGCTCGGAAGCGGCATACTGAAGTCCAATGCCGAGTACGGATATGCCCGAGGCGATCTGGAAACCTAGGCGACGGCCAAATCGATCTGACACCCAGCCACACATAAGACTTCCTAGTCAATGGTTATAATACATTCATACCAGACTGTTGGATCGAGCGGATACCTAGCAGCATGCCCAAGAATGTCATTGCCCCCCATAACGCGTTCCAAGTTGCAGATACGAGCAACTGGCCCTCGTATTCATAGCCAAAGACCATCTTGAAACCGGGTAGCGCGATAGTGATTGTACTGATGCCTGAGAAGAGGGAATTTTCAGCGTCAGCTCATCATCTGGTTGCCAAGGGGTGCCGTCTTCGGATCGGAGTTACCAATATCGAACCCCCAGAGGATGGAAGCAACACCAGCACAAAAGCAGTGCGCAATAATGGTGGGATTCGCTTTCGCAGATTCCCAAGGCGCAATCGGGGCTTCTGTCCGCCGCTCCACCATTTTCAGTGAAACATCGTCAGGCTTTGTTGTAACGTCCATTTTGTATGGCGTAGTGGTGGCTTTGTCCGTGTAAGTAGGACTTCACTTTGCTGGACGAGACCAAAGTAAACTTAACAATAAGAGGGGAATAGGAAACCTTTATGGATCAGGCATCTTGCGAGCTACTTCGTCTGAAAAATTACGTACAGCAGCTTGTTCTCTGGACAAACATCAGTTACTAGCGGAAGACGAGTCTGGGGTAATGGGGTAATGATCCACCAGTCTGGGGAACGTTCCGGAGTTTCGTCCACTTTTCCCGGATGAATCTGAATCTGCGGAAAAGCCGGTTCTGCAACGCCAACAACCCACCAGAGAGCCGGGTCGTCAAAATAACCCAGCATTAGGCCAATTTTGTAGTGAATACAGTCCCTTGGCCAAAAGCTCACTTAAGTTATTCGCGTCCCTCTGTGTGTAGTCAGTGGCTTTACTCCGCACTGGGGGTCTCGGGCGTCTTGTGGCATTCGACGGGACGTTGGCTGTCCTTGACTGGGGGCGCAGGCCGGGATTTCCTTGCGAGCAAATCGATGATTTCGCCTGCCGACAATTTACCTGCTCATTTGAGCCTGATTCTCAACCTTCCCCCTCCTTGATAATTCGCCGCGGAGGATTGATCAACTGTGCTTCTGTCCGAAAAGGGTAGTCATCTCAACTGCAGTTTGGAATATCCGAGCCTGTGCTTTTGTCCAAGACCGGGATCCATCTCAACACTGTATTTCGGGATATCCGAGCCTGTCAGCGGGTCTTCTTACATGAACAACACGTCCCGGTCTGACGATGAATATTACGCAAGAGCTGTCTTAATGAGGACGTTACCCCTTCAAGGAGGACTGGGGGATTCTGTACACAAGCAGTCAGCATCACCATTTCATTTTACGAAACAGACCGTTACGATGTCATACTCGAATCCAATCATACCAGGTTTCAACCCAGACCCATCAATATGCCGCGTTGGCGAGGACTTCTTCCTTGTCACCTCGACTTTTGAATACTTCCCCGGAATTCCCATCTATCACAGCAGAGACTTGGTGAACTGGCAGCTCATCGGTCATGTCCTCATACGGAGGTCTCAGCTGGACATGAGGACAACGGAGCCGTCTGGAGGAATCTGGGCGCCGACATTAAGACACTGGCAAGGCCGGTTCTACGTGTCTGTCGGCTGCACCCAGCGTTTCCGTCCTAAGGAATGGGTAAGTGAGTTCAATTGAGGCTCTCGCATGAACTGACCCTCGCCTGGACTTGTAACACTTTTGACTGACGTGACTGATTAGGACATAACCATACCCCGCGGGTTCTATGTGACTACGGACAACATCTGGGAGCGTGGCTCTTGGTCCGAGGCCGTTTACTTTGACGTGCCGGGAATCGATCAAGACGTACGTTGTGTGGAATCTGCGCAACTTCATTTATACAAAACAAAACACATACTGACATCAGAACTGACAGCTCTTCGTTGATGAAGATGGACAAGTTTACTTCTCCGCGGTCAACCAGATCAAAGACGCCAGCATAAAGCGGCATGGTCTGGGACTAGCGTCGTTCACGACCGCTATCGAATTGTCCACCGGAGACTGCATCGGACCGATCCGCTGGAACCGGCTCTCTGACTTTGGTCTGGGCATCGCCGAGGGACCGCATATCTTCAAGAAGGATGGGTTCTACTACCTCAGCACGGCGGAGGGTGGTACGGATGAGGGCCATCAACAGTGGATCTTCCGTTCAAAGGAAGGCCCTTTTGGTCCGTGGGAGGCGGGCCCCGAAGGAACGGTTAATCCCATGGTTTTCAACAACACCCATCCTGAGATCCGCAATACAGGACACTTGGACCTTGTTGACGACGCAAGGGGCAAGTGGTGGGCAGTGTTTCTCGGCGTGCGCCCTCAAAACGGTGGTTCTGAAAGCTCGCAACTAGGACGTGAAACGTTTCTCGCCCCGGTGAAATGGGAAGACGGGTGGCCCATAGTCAACAACAGGGAGAAAATCACTCTTGAGATGAAGGCTGATGGCATTGGGGCCCAACAGAAGAAAGAGACTCACTGGCGCGACGATTTTCGAGGTCCCGAGCTCGATCTCGGATGGTATCATCTGAGGACACCCCTCAAAAACGCGTTTAAGTTCGGCTCTACAGGATTGCAGCTTTACGGAGGCGCTTATCAGATCACGGAATTTGAGTGTCCTAGCATGCTCCTTCGCAAGCAAACACAGTTCTCGATGGATTGGATGGTGGAGCTGGAATTCCATCCAGGTGCCGTCGGCCAAGAGGCAGGCACGGCCATCTGGTGGTCCCAATTTGCCCATGCTTCAATCGGTCTGTGCAAGACTTCCGAAAGCCATAATGAGATCATTTGCAGGGTGATTGATGAGAAGGGAGAGTTTACGGTAATTATACAAGTCGCAGTCTTAGTTGCACGAGCTATGAAGCAGCTAACAGTTTCTTAGGAGAAAGTTGCGAGCATCGGCCACGAGACTGCGGTCAAATTCACCATTCAAGCGCGATCACTGGGCTACGAGCTTTTTTACGCAACGAGTAGCTCTAAGACAAAAGAGGGAATGCTACTTGGCGAATGTCTTGGCTCAGTTTCCAGCAGGGCATTGACGCATCGGATTTCGGGACGTGAATCTCCCAATACCGGGTCTCACTTTGCCATTTACGCACAAGGGGCCTCGGCAAAGCCTTGCCTGGTGCCTGCTGAGTTCAAGTATGTCGAGTGGAAATTGGTGGAATGAGTGCTTTCGTATTAAAGCTAGGTTTAGTTGCAAGACCAGATTAAGGAATATTAGAGAAGACTGATAGAAATCAAACTGTTCAACCATTCGGAACATCATGTTCCCCGCCGAAACACTCTGGACTGCCCCTCTGCACTCAGGGTGCCGACGTGTCGCATCATCACGCAGGTCGACCTGGCAGCTGCCGATGCCGCCTGCGCCAGTACCGGGTCTACAGTCTAGCATCATGCCCCAGGCTTGCCTAATCTGAGGTCCGGCGGATGCGACTTCGTCGAGTACCAGGGCCTGCTTGCCTGCCTACATAAGAGTCTTTTTTGATTCTGGAGTGATACGAGAGGCGAACAATTTGTTTCGAGGTCGAGCGGGACCGAAGGCTGGCGCTTTGTTGTCGGCGCAGTCGTTTGTTGGCGCTGGTAGAATGTGTTCCTTATAAATGCCGCGACGCCCGACAGTGTTTGCTGGTCTCGGTTGGTGTCAGGCAAACTCGCGGCGAAGCTATGTACCTCCAGGTTTACTCACCGAATACCGCAAGTCTGGGCTCCTGAAGGCCGGGTCACTCATTGTATCCTGGCGTGCTGGACCACTGCTATCCGACGCAAAGCGTAGCGAACTCAACCCCAATATTCCTGAGTCTGGGGGAGGACATCAAACATCTAGGGTTCAACATCATTGCCCCGGCGCAACTTGCCAGCCATAACACGGTGCAGTGTAACGATTGACTGCTGTGGCTACTCAGCTGCGACATGAGAATAGTCTATGTCAAAAGCAGAGGCTCTTCAGATGCGTCCAATATCTGCGTCCAGTCGACTCGAGTTCCGTCTTCCGACTTTCGTTTCTGCCAGAGGTCTTCGAGCATATCCAGAGATAACGCAATATTCTGAAATCGTCGCTTCTTCAAAGTCATCTGCAATCGGCTGCGGACTGCTTCCATGTGCTCTTCCTCAGTTGCCTCACCGCCCGCAAGGAACAGCGGAAAGAGAATGGCCGATTCGGCATGGCTGCCGACCGGGATGTCGGATACATGCCGTAGAATATTTGAGATCTGTGTGCGAAGTTTTGTCGGCAGAATATCCCAGCCACTGACCGCCTTCAGCCAATCGTCTTCTGCAGATGAGGCTTCGTCTTCCATCCGAGTGCGCACGAGGCGGTAAAGGAAGATCAACACCGCGCTCCGAAAGGCGTTGGCCAACGCTACTAGCTCTGGCGCAGCGTCGGGGCGGCAGCGCCAGTCTTGCAACTCTTGTTCAACCTCAGCGCATTTGCTGTGGAACTGGATCATCCTTCTTGCCGTCTCGTCGGCAGGTAAGGCCAGGTCCAGTTTGGTTTCTTCATCGAGAAAACAGAGAGTTGAGACGTAGCGCAAGAGCTCGGTTGCGACACCCAGGTAGGTATCAACGACGTCGGTGATGCCATCCAGGTAGCTACAGTCCAGAAGAGGACGCCTCCTGAGTGTGACGCTGCCAACAATATCGTGATACGCGAAGTTGCGAAGGATCCACTGGCCCTCTGAACTCTTTTTGAAAACATCTGGTCCATGCAGTGTAACTCCTGAGCTGGTGTTCACACTAGCAGACTCGATGATGTGCTTTGCTCCATTGAGATGGGTGTACCATCCGCGGTTGCTCCCCGCGCAAACCTCGCCAATCACGAAGGCTAGACACGTTGCTGCTTTGGTCTCATACCAAGTAATGTCATTCTGTGGTGTGCTCAGAGCCGTGGCGAGATTGGTCATTGCCGTTGAGTGAGCCTCAATTGCCGAAAGCTTGTACGATTGATCACTCAATGCTAGGTGACCTGAGGCGAATGAGACGAGTGCGTCGTACAGGACAGACGACTCCATAGCCATGGGCAAGAACGCTGTACCAGTCATGATCGTCAGGCCCTGTGTGCTGCGATGTATCATTAACTTGTGACTCACCTGATAGAAATGAGTTGAACTGCTCATTGACGGTCAGGTAATGACTGAGAATTTCGATGTAATATCGCATGACCTGCCTCTTCTGTGGTGGCTCGCATGGCTCGATAATTGATACTGGCGGACAGAGTGGGAAACATCGCGAGCGCTGTGGTGAGTCGTCATCGGCGTCCGGAACCCCACGCGACGGTTTGGTTGATTGCTGTTTGCGATCAACCCAGCTGGTAGGCACAACATCGCGAGTCGTGCTTCGAACACACTTCAAATTCAAACGCGCACATGCGCCACAGACTGGAAATGTGTTTTCGGTACACTTTTTGCGCCTACGTCCCCCGAGATTGTGAGAAATACGAACTGATGAAGGGGATGCCGAAAAGATAAGGGTGCTCGGTGTACTCACCGATATCGGCAGGTCAAACAACCAGTCTTGTCGTGCTTAGACCCTTTCCTCCGGCGCGGATCAGTTTGAGAAACAGAGGCCATATTCGTCTTCGCTTAATTGAGCAAAAGGAAGGTCACGGCGAGTGGTGAAAGAAGATATGCGGCGGCGTGTTGGGCGTAACAGGCGTGACGTAGGGATCTTTGGTGTTGAGAGGGAAAAAGAGGACCCCGATGGAAACCCAAGCACAGCGAGTGGACTGCAGGCAGGAATAAGCGGAACTTTTCAGTCAGAATTTACTGGGACACTTTCCTGTTTAAGTTTAGTGTTCTGTTATCGGTCAATGTGTTCTTCCCCGCGTTGGCGTTGACAAGGACCGTCATCGGCACTGACTCCGCACGCCTTTCTTGTCATTTCAACTGCTCTTATCTAATTCGCTCGTTGAATTGACGCGATCTAGTGGGGATGGCGTATCTTATCTCGCAGTATCTTGCATCTCCGGCCAGATTGCGCGTCCAAAGTGGGCTCGCATGCATTGAAGAAGACAATGACTCGCTCGATGTTCGAACCGACTCAATTTAATTAGAAATACACTCCGTTGCGTTGACGGCGTCCGCCCCTAACTTTGACCCGGAAGGAAAATTTTCCGCTAGCCTAAAAACCCCTTAAACTTCACCCCTTAATAGCTCTATACGTACATAATACGTACGAATAAAAAAGATATCTTTATAATTACCTAATTAAGAGCTATTAATTAATATATTTCTTATTTTTACGTATTACGTACGTATAGAGTTATTAAGGTGTGAAGTTTAGGGGGTTTTTAGGCTAGTGGATACTAAACGTAACGCTAAAAAGAAAAAATAAAACCCCTAATGTATTACGTTAAACTATATACTTAAAAAACCCCTTAAAATTAGCCTTAACTTTATATACTAATAACTCTATACGTATATAATACATAAGAATAAAAAATATATTAATTAATAGCTTTTAATTAGGCGATTATAATAATATCTTTTTTATTTATACGTATTACGTACGTATAGAGCTATTAGTATGCAGAGGTTAGGGCGATTTAGTGGTTTTTTAGCAAAATACCCCTTTTTTTGCCTTTTTTGGGCCATAAAGTCGGGTGTTACGGTCAGCTATCCGACAGTAGGGTCTGCTAACAGAAGTTAGGGATTGACACATTATAACAGTACACTAGGTCGTGGTCTAAGTTATAGGTCGTAGGCTGTAGTAGATCAGGTCTTCAGAGGCTAAGGTGATCAGTCTTAAGCTCAACAAGTAATTCGCAGTAAAAGTAAGCTAAGAGTATCCGTGAGGATAAATACTAAGTTAATTGCTGAAGAGCTATAGAAGTTTGACTATGAGCCAGGCTCAGGGTCATACTATATATAAGTCTAGTTCTGAACATGTTCCTTTATACCCTAGGTCGATCTGGATCATTCTGATCCAATATGAACGTTATCTTATCGTCACGTGACTTGGACCATAGTTTTTCCGTTTCCGAGTGAGTCCCTGTTGTTCCCGTGATCCTGCAGTACAAATGTCCTGTCCTAGCCGCCCGATGCCTAAGTGGGTCGGTTATCTGTTATTCCTGCATAACGGGTCGTAACATCGGGGGCGGACGCTGTCAACGCAACGGAGTGTACGGAGACACGCAAAGTCAATTCAAGACGCCAATTGAACTCAAGACATTGGGTATTTTGTAACTCAAAAGACATCGACAACCGCTGATGCTAAGGTATCTTCATCTTTGACAAACTTGGACTCTTCCAACCCTCAGCACCCCCACCAATCAGGCAATCGCGACAACCAGCTCACACGCGTCTGCTGTTGTCTTCGACCATGGCAACATGCGAAACATCCTTCTCCTCCTCTTGCATTTTCTCATGGAGCCTCTCTTGCACGTCGTGGCGAACCTTCTCCTCTTCAGTGGGATAGGCGCGCTTGAACATGCTCCAGAGAGAATGCTGGAACAAATCATCCATGGACTCGATACTGCGGCCCTTCATCTCCGGCAAGCAGAAGAAGACGAATATCGCACCGATGTAGGTCATAACAGCGAAGAACAGAAAGGTGCCGTAGCCCATCGTTCGCAGCATGTGGGGCGTGGCAGAGGTGATGCCGTAGTTTACGATCCAGTTCGTGAAGAGACAGCAAGACATGCAAAACGATCGGATACGAGCGGGAAAGATTTCAGCACTAAAGATAGTGTTAATAAGAGTGTCGTGGCTTGTACGCCCTGTGCAGGGACACTTACGCAGTCAAGTACGGCGCGACGGAGTGTCCAAATGACCAGCCGAAAGCGTAGAGGTAGATCCTTTGATGTTCGTTAGCCCAAACTCGGGAATCATTGAGAGGGACGAGGCATGCTTACATGATAATACCGACAATTCCACCAGGGGTTGTACCGCTTCCTGCCTTCACATCAGAGAAGCGGATGAAAAGCCCAATGTAGAGCATAGCTGTAGCCTGGATGGTGGCACCGATGATGAGGGGGAGACGACGGCCGACGCGATCAACAATGACGGTGACGTAGACGATAGTAGTAGCCAGCTTGACGACTCCGTATACGCCGGTCGTAAGAAGAGAACTGGAACCCTTGGGGACGCCAATCATGGCGAAGATCTGGGGAGCGAAATAGTTGAGCGAGTCGGTACCGGTAAGCTTGTGGAAGAGGAACAACATAATGGCGAGGAAGAGACGGCGGCGGTTGCTAGCGTTCGTTCCGATATCCTTCATGACAACAAGGTAGTTCGTTCCTAGACGAGTTAGCAAATCGAAGGCCTTAACTCCTCGTGGCACCTTGGCAATTACCCTTGGCAGTTACTTGCTCTGCTTCGACCTGAGCAGTGATCTCCATGTACTCTTGTCTAACATACGGGTGCTCTGCAGGCAAGCCTCGAAGCTTACAGAGATTCTTCAGACCCCTCTCATCTTTGCCTTTTGCGATAAGTGCTCGGGGTGTTTCGACGACGACTGCGTGTTGAGAGGTTAGCTAATGCGTACTCAAGTCGTCGGTTGGATTGATACTTACACCAGATCAAGACGAAGAGGAAGAATCCGGGAATGAGCTGAATACCAAGGGCCAACTGCCAAGCCTTGTTGTTATTGGGGTCTTGGTTGGGCCAAAGGCTAACGGCATAGTTGACCCAGAAGGCAATAGCAAGAGCCAGGATAATCATCAAGTTGTAGGAAGTGGTAAGAGAGCCTCGAATCGACTTGGGAGAGTTTTCTGCCAGGTATTGAGGGGCCAACTGGACAAAGAGTCAGCACACCATCAAGAGTCAATCTCAATCTCCAGTGTTTCTCACCATCGAAGTTGCACCGATGGCTACACCGGCCAACAATCGGCCAGCATAGAGGACGTCTAGGTTGGGCACCTCTTGCATCGAGCAACCAATCAAGAAAAGGCCAGCCATCGAAGTCACAGCCTTCTTACGGCCGAGGTAGTCGGAGAGAGGAGCTGCCAGCAGGGCTCCTGCAGTACCTCCAGCAGCAACTGTCTGATGTTAGACTTGCATTATCACAAGTCGTACTTGAAGATCCTGTATACTCACGCATCGCTGCGATGTTGCCCTCTATTCTCAGTGTTAGATATTTGAAGCCATCTCCGAGTTCACATCTGCAGCTTACCTCGCTTGTCGGCTTCCTCTGTACTGATGGTATCAAAACCGAACGCCTTCCGGAAGGAAGGAAACGTCATGATGCCTCCGATGTTACCCTGGTCGAAGCCATAGGAGCAACCTGCAAAGGCAATCGTGATGCCCAAAAGGAGTAGTTTCGAGTTGAAAATCTCCCGAGGATCTTTCTTCCACTCGGGAGAGGCGAAAAGTGAGCCTCCGCCGCCCATGTTTGCGATCGATTCTATCAAATCTTTGGGGGGTTGTTGTCGGAGAGGTTAGACGTTGCTTGCGACGGAAAGTCTAACGAACGGTTTCCGGTGTCGTAGAATGAGTTAAAGACAGACTTCGACTGTATCATATATCCGTACTGCCTGAGTCAATAGTTTGCAACGCAACTACCACCCCACGGGGAGAGGGGGCCCCCAGGAGACCAAGAGCCGAACTACCCCGCGTAATCCACAGCGTTTCCTCGAGCCACAACTGCATGGGGAACCATGGGGATCAGCCAATGCAACAGAGTCGGCGAGAAGACCGGTGTCACCAGAACGATCGTCCAGTTGAAAGGCCGCGAATTGCAATGGTTTGATGATCTGGCCAAGTGACCTGCCAACAGTCCCACCATCCCCAGATTCAATATCAGGGGGTTTCCGCAACCCCAGGTTTCGTTGGGGCTAAGCAGAATTAGGAAACTCGGCGACTTGTCCTAGACTTCAACCTTCGCCCGTGTGCACACGGCAGCTAAAAGTCGTGGCGCTCCCGGGACATGAAATAGCGGGGCCGGAGTTTCGGTCGGTGGGATCCTGAGTCGCGAGGATTGATGGAAGCGGGGAATGCCTGACGCGGGGCAGGATAATCACATCAACTTGGCGAACAGCAGCTTGGGGAAATACATAGAAGCGACCGCGTTCAGCCAGGGTGCATTGTTGTAGCCGCTGATACAGCAAAGAGACTAACAGCAAACGACATCTATCCCAACCTGTCAACATTGAAGCTGTATCAACCAAATATTGGCCCACGTTCCTCAAGACTGGTTTCTGTCTGGCGCTCCGTTTTCAAACATGTCGTCTTCAACCTTGCATACGGCCGCTATCCCTGCGGCAACGGTCCAGGTGCACGCCTCCAACCTTCTCCAACTACCCGACAAGACTTTGCTGTGCACCTGGTTCGGCGGCTCGCAGGAGGGTCTGCCGGACATTAGCATCTGGCTGTCTCGGCAGGAGCCCGGCTCCGACACCTGGTCAAGCCCACAGAAGATCTCCTCAGACACCAATCGCAGCTGCCAGAACCCCGTTCTCTTCAGAGCACCAAAGACAGGCGCCATCTGGTTGTTCCACACCTCGCAGGATGCAGGTAACCAAGATGGCTGCTACATCATGTCTCGTACGTCGAGCGATAATGGCGTTACATGGTCAGAGGCACGGAAACCCCTGAAGGCTGTCACTGGTGCATTCGTTCGCCAACCACTAGTA